GCGACTCAGAAACCACGTGGCTCTCGTCAGCGAGGCCAGTATGAATGAACGAACGCCGGCGAACCAACGAACGTAACGTACTATACGATACGGAAAATGGTGGTGGGGCGGGTAGGTAGCAGTGCCGATACGCGCACTGTGTGACATGTGTGTGTATGTATGTATGTATGTATGTACGTGTGCACGCGTGTGTTGGCCGTGCGGTAAAACGTCACCGCTTCTCCTACTCTTGCAGACGCTCGCGGACCGCCAGACACAATGGAACATCGTGTGGCTATGACAACGAAAACGGGGGGTGGAGGGGGAGCAGAGCGCGCCCCGGCTCTCTTAACCGGGAAACTTGCCACGGACCATTCCCATTTCGACCGGCGAGCCTCTCGATACTTCTTTTCCGCGAGGAGGTGACGAGCCACGCGCTGGAGAACGACAGACGACTCGTCGCCAGGGATTTTTTTAGCGCCGAGTCCCTCGATAATCGGATATCGCGGTGACGAACGTGTGCCTTTCAGCGTGGATCGAGAGCGGATAGGGCTTTCGCCGAGGCTTCTGGTAGAGGTGCGAAGGAATCGAGAGGACGGAAGTAATGTCGGAACTGGAGACAATGTTGCAGCTTGTCTTTGGAGATGGTTTGTGATTGTGATCGTGATGCTGGATTGGGATTGTTGGGTCAAAGAAATACAGTTTTTAATAGTAATTGGGGGTGAATGTATCGAGTGATCCTGCTGGAGGGAATTTGTAAGTGTTTAAACAGGTGATTGTCTTTAGATGTAGCTTCGAGTGTTTTCACTGGTGACTATTCTAACGTGTGATTTCATAGAGAACCGTAGTTTTAAGGTTAGGATGGTTAGGACCTAGGGCTTTCGCCGACAGTCCCAGTGAAGCGTCTACAGCGCGAAAGCCCTATCTGATGTGGAGACCGAAAGTGTGCTTCGTATTTTTGTAATCGCTTCGTTCAGCTACGGTAATGAAGTTCAATGTACGTTTATGGATACAAGGAATCTTTTTCTTTGCCATTTTCTGATTAATTGGATCTTTTAATATTATCAGAAGGACCTACTCGCGCCTGCTTAAGAAACTTCTCCGACGAGTACCGTTTTTTACCGAATCAACGTCCTTCTCGGGGAAAATAAGAATGTCTGACAACTCAAGTCTCATTCCCCTCAAGGGCTGCACTGACGACGATGTGCAGGGCTAACGTTCCGAGGCAGAGCTGGCCCGTTACTAGAAACATTGGTAAAGGAGCCTAAAGCATATTTGCGGATCAAAATGACCAACTCCGTTTTCCAAATTTAATATAAGAAAATACGTAGGGAAAAATTTAAAAAATGGTTACGGTTGCTAACGCAAGACTTAATCGCGCGAGATTAATCTCCCGCGCGTTTGATCGCGAACTCTGAGAGATACAAATTGCTTTTAAACGGGGAGACAAGTGGGAGGTACAGACAGGGTACAAGGATAGATCCGAGGAGGCAGGAGAACGCAAGCGGATTCACTTGCTTCTCGAATAATGTACGACACGACGGTGACGGTGCTTGAAAATAAGGTGATTGATGGTTGTCCCGCGTCCCTCTCAGAGCCACACTTACCTAAGGTAAATTTGTTTAAGGCCGACCCCGCTGTTCACGCAGCCGCTAGGTAGATGGAATTGTTCGCATAGCGAGGCCCACTCGTTTCTCGTGTTCACCTGAAAACACATAAACACCCGTGATTCGTGGTTCTGATTCCTTACCAGTTCTCAGTACATTGGTTTAGCGATCGAGAAGAAAAGTGTTCCAATGTTTCACTACGGCAATTTTCATATTTCTACACATTACGCGAACTAACTTTATCTATGCAGAAAAGTCGGAGCGTTTAATAGTGCCTGTTTCAAAAGCAATACTCCTTGCTAAATTATACAATAGTCTGGGAAGTGTACATTTTTGAAGTTCAGATATTTTTTGAACAGCTTCTAAGAAACTAGATAATGAAGTAAAATGAATTCAGGGATACCAGAAAAGAGCTTCTTCAAATCGTTGTTGAGCTCGACCTAGTGTAGAGTCTACTTCCGGTGAGCATTGCGATAGATCAGTGTCGTTCAAAGATAGAGCACTCTTTCATAAGCTTTATCTCCCTTTCAAATTAGTACCGAAAGAAGACGAAGTAGGAAACTTAGCAAGTGGAATAAGGAGCCGGTAGTCAGACAAATGGAAGTAAAACGACCAAGGATCAAAGTACATTAATCGATACATGCATCGTTGATAGAACGAAGCAATTAGTAATAAATAGTTGCAAGAGCATTTACAAGTAGCCATTAGGAGCGATACACTGGAAACAATCATGTTATCAAATGTCCAGTGAAATTATACACAGAGCATGGTTGGAGAAACGTTAAATGGCATGTCCGAACCGTGGCTTGAAGTTCGTGACGCGGCTAATTATTCTCGGTATTAGTTAGCGTGGCTCGTTTTCCTACCGCGGAAGAACTTAGATCGGTATTTATAGTTGGCATTATTTATAGCTGATCCGTTCGAATGGCGGCGGTGGCAAGGCGCGAGTTTCGACACGGATTTTCCGAGAAGTTTGATTTTTCTCGAAGTTTCTCGATTTTCCGAGTAATTTGGTTTTTCTTCGATCGGCTCTCGTCGAATTTTACGCAACTACTTCGAGAGTCGCGTTGTAGATTATTTCCGGCGGGAATCGCGTTCGAGACCAGGAATTAGCGACCTCTGCGCTGCAATTGGTTTCTCTTGGCGGATATTATTCCTCGATTCGGCGCAATCGTCTAGTGCCTTTGCCTCCATTGTGACACGTTGTTTCATTCTTTTATTTTCCTTTCTTTTCAGACACGAAAATTGAGATTCACTAGGTATCAACGTTTTTATAGACTTTGTGACGTTCACCGGGACATTTTGGCTGGATGACAAGACACCTCGGATCGATACTATATTTCTTATCGAAAACGTGGATGAACATCGTCGCCTCGTTACATAAACTTCGTAGTAACCTTCCTCTTCGTTATCTTCCACGTTACATAGGAAAATTAATCGATTCGCCACGATAACCTTTTGAATTTTCTCGTAGCGAGCTGCCGCGTCGATTTCTTTGAACTACGTAGGAAAAGTATTCAATTTCCAGGCTCCATGATACGCGTTACGAGATAACGGATTACAGTATGAGCTAACAGCGATAAACGAATGGGCGTCTCGGTGTTGTTATTCTTAATTGCTGGTGTACGTGGGTTCACGAACAAATGAGTGAGTCACCGAATTTCGCGTGACCTATTTATACCCAATGAACATAGGACAATAGTATACTATTTATAATTCGAACCGTGAACCGTGCAACGCTAGAACTTCTGCGGCCAGCCGATGAACCTGACGCGACAGCATAGACAGAACGAATCGGATCACAAGGTGAATCAGATCGGAATAAAAATAGTCGGCATTTGTTATATTTAAAATTGTATTTCTTATTTCTTGTTTCTTGCTCAAAAGAGAAAGATTCAAAAATTCTTGATCATTCTTTACTATTAATGATCAAGTATTTTTATTTCTTCACTGGTGAAATTATATTTCTCATTTGGTAAAGCAAGATTCAAAAATTCTCATCCACTTTTTACTGTTAACGATCAAGTATTTTTATTTCTTCACGGTCAAAGGTACATTTCTCATTCCTGGTTTCTCATATAAAAAAGAATGGTTTAAAAATTCTGATTCGCTTTTTATTATTAACGTTCAAATATTATTATCAAATATTATCTCTTCGCTGTGACAGAGAAAACGATTCGCTTCGGTCTACCCTGCTCTATATATGACAGAACATCTGCCACAACGCCGTCTTCACACCTGACAGCTGCTTACCTTCGCGCCATAAACTACACAGACCGATTATACGACGATAAGTAATCCGTAGTTATTGATACCATCGGAACAATGGTAATTCGACTAACGTTCGTCCTCTTAAAATATTTGTATTACTGTCTGACGACTATTCGCTGTTTCCACTTGTGCCAGAAACAGTCGTCCTACCGAACTAGAAATTATTTTACTTTTTGGAGAAAACACGATTGACGGTCGTGATAAAAACCGTGACTTTCTGGTTTCCGTCTCGTCGCAACCAGTCCCCACGTCTCATCTTGCGCTAATTTTCGCGATCGTCGCGCGTACGTTAACCGATTTGCATCATTATCGTATATACACTCGCAATTTTCCTAACTATTATCACCGGCGCGCTCACATACGATGTGAGCGAATAGTGATCGCGAGCGGATCGAATTATTCGTTAAGTAGTAAAAGTAATGCAAAATATCAGATAAAAAAGAGGATTGCGGTTCTGATAGTAGCGAAGAGATAATGGGACCCATAAAACTAAAAGGTGCCATTGCGATAACTTCAGACAGTGACGATATTGAATTTTGATAATACGGGTACGTTTTTACGATGCAAGTGGGTCAACTCCTCGCAATCCAAAGACTCGTTTCAGCGGCCACTTGATTCGTTACAGCAATAGATAACGTTTGATATATAACATTCAGTTTTGCATAATGTACGAATATATGAAGTATTAAAATAAAACAGCTTCGTTCCTGAATTTATACACGATTCCTCGATAATTTACTTGCTATATGTATCCATATGCCACCAGAAAATATGTCGAGTATTTCCAGTAGAAAACTCTCAGAGTACAAGTAGGTTAACACTAGAACAACCGAGCATTTAATATGATTAACATGTAATCCTTACAAAAATAGTAACACTGGATTTCCTCGATTTCTTCGCATACGCATTACAGTATTCAGGTGAAACTATATATTTTCAAAACCATTTCGGTTATTTGACACTTCCAAGATGGGAATAATTACGAAATTAGAGAACTGAAACTATTTTCGCGGATGAGGTAGTTTCTAGCGTTAATCAGAGGTTGATGACGTGAACCACCCTGTTATGCGTATCGGGAAACGAGGGATTACGAAAGGTCGCGGGATGAAACAATCCGCGTATAACGTGATCGCGTGCGCCGAGAAAGGATCGTCGGGGAAAATATTCGAAGCTCGACGGTGCGGCGCGGTGGTTCGTTTACGACTCGGCGTTCGGCCAAGGGGTTTACGGTTCCATCCATGCGAACCAGAGAATCTTGCATACACGCGGTCATCTAGATATCTCTCTCCTCTCCCCGGCTTTCCGTTCCCTATCTTCTCTCTGCTCTTTATCTTCGTAGTCTTTCCCTTTCTCTTTATTCTTCGTTCTTTCTTCTCTCCCTCTACCTCTGGTCTCTATTCTCTTTCTTGTTATCATCATTCTCTTTTTGTCTGATCTCTGGATCTTGTTGGTCATCATCTTTCCCTCTTTCTCCATCTCTTCATCATCTCTCTGCTGTATCTGCCTCTTTCCGTTCTTCATCCATTTCCTGCTTATCGTTCCATCTTCCCAGTTTCTATTTGGTCTCACTTTACATATTCCTTATTCCATCTGATCCTTTTCTGCTCTCCTCTGTCCTTACATGTATTCCCTCGTCTCTATCCCTCTGTTCTCTCTATATCCATTTCCTATTCTGTAGCTCCGATATTATTCTACCCTCTGCCTCTACTATTCCATCTACTCTCTGACGTTCCCTGTTCTCTCTACATCTATTTCCACTCCTTTCGTCTCTAACGTCTCTCTTTTTATATTCTTACATTTATCCTTAAGTTTCTCTACTCTTTTTAAATCCACGCCTTATCCTCCCTCCGCTCTGCTTCTCCCTCCCTCTCGCCGCTCTCCTCTTTCCTCTCGTTCGCCGAAGAGCCGAGGGAGCCGCGTAGCGCCGAATATACCGGGAGCGTGATTCGTCAGAGGCGCGAAGATGAATACCGACGTGGCGGACGGCAACCCGATTCCACGGGAATTCCTGGTAGTATAGCGGGAGTGGCCGCGCGCACGCCACGCCGGGATATAAATTTCTCGGCCCGGGCGCGCGTTGAAAAAATAACCGGCGGGACTCGTGTTACGCGGCTCTCCCGCGCGCACACGTGTCGCGTGTTTATAGACCGCGCTCGCGCGGTTCCCTTTAGTACGAGGAGGACGGAGGACGGTGCGCGCGTGTCCGTTTGCTTATGCAGGTAAAAAAGAAGCGGAACGGGAGGACGCGTTCGCGATCCACGGCTTGAATTTCGAGAACCGATCCCGTTTTCGGAACTCTGCTCAACGAGACGCTGTGCTACAGGCCTGTCCAGTCCAAGACGGTTGCGAATGTGGCCCAGCAAAAATCATAGGCTTACAAACTTACGAGATTGCCACTAAAAGACCTCTTAACATTACTTCAAATATAAGGGTAATTATTTAGTTTCGGGTATTCCCCAACGATTTTGACGAGTTGTGGATATGTTGGGAACGTAGTTCTAAGCAACTTTTTCCTATATATGTGTCGCTGTTTCTTTAGATTCTTGGTTAGAATTACATTCCTGATAACGTGTCTAAAAATCATCGAAATCGATAGGGAATATGACGAACTAAATAATTGCCAATACAAGTTAATCTTATTTTTGTATATAGCGGTGAAAATGCATTCCCAGCTGATAATAAAGTAAATAAAAGAGTGACGAATAGAAAATTTTCAATGTTTCTGTGGGAATTCTATCTGTGATATGTTTCACGTAACATTTGAAGGAATCCCATTGAAATTCACGAGTTTGAATACAACAGTAAATTCTTCACATTTTTTCTTTACATTTTGCAGCAGAAGTGTATAAGGCGCGATTACACCTTTATACGTGGTTAACGTTAATATTTGTACACAGGTCCAGGGAAGATAAAAAATTGGACGGCCCTGGTATACTACTCAACGCTGGAGAGATAAGAGCTACCCTGCAGTCAAATTGAACAGCTTTTTATGTGTTTTTTTTTATAGAAATTACGCTACATGTTTTTAATAGGTATAAAAGAACTCGGGGATAAGAAGTTTTGAGCCATGTGGTACGGGCAGTAACCTTTTCGTGGAGGATGGTTTTTGAAAGCGTTGGAAATTTACGTATAATGAAGTTCTATTAAATTCTTAATCACTGGGAGGACAATTGGGTGCCGATTATATCTTCCTTTCCTCCCTGATATTCTACGGTTTTTTATTGGAAACCGGTTTCTCCCGAATATTTCATACTAGTAGGAAGCTATAAAAAGTATAAACAGAACCGAAGCTATAGTTACTACGTTAGAGGATGTCGTTCTGGCCTTCTGTTTCATAAACGTGCCAGTGATACACAATATATTTAAATAACATTTCCAAGCGCTGCCAGTCGTTTAGCGTAACGTAATTCCATTTGGAGCGATATCTCGTTTCGAGACCAACGCGTCTCGTTCTGTAAGAAGAGTTCTTTTCTCGTATTCCCGCCGTCTTGCCGGAGACTCGTAGCTATATTACTCGTAACCGTGACGCGTAATTAATTTCTATACATTCGGTCAGCGTCGATATTCCTTTTCGTAACAAGATCATCGACCGAAGCAAAATTTCTGTTCGCGATTCGGTTGAGATTAAGATAAATTAATTGATTCTTTTATTCTACTTCGATGTGTATCGTGCACAGATCAAACAGATTAGCTCCAGCATTTTCGAATGTTTTCAAATTCCACCGCTAAACATTTAACCGATCCTCTGCGCGTGTAATTCCGTCGAAGTTTTCTACTTCTCAGTCCACGCAGCTAATCATTTCGACAAATGAACAGCTCATGTTAAACGACCGTCATTTAGTTTTCGTTCCCCGAGTCAGTGAGTCATTTACGATTCCGTCGAATCGCGCTCACGTTCATCGCGGGGATAAATCACTCGGAGATTCCGAAAATATTCCTCCGTGCCTATCGCAGCTTCGCGCGAGTCACAGGGTTAACGGGTTAATCTAGTCTCGAGGGTGCGTTTCCGAGCGGCTTGGCGCCAGCCGGAGAAGGCTAAGGAAAATCCCGATTACACGACCTCTAGTCGAAGAAACTCCTACGAATAGTACGACAATGCAACTTATTAACAAAAGTGAAATATACAGAATGAAACGTTCAAGTATAGAATACATATTATGGATACCGTAAATCCTAGCGAATGAGAAGCACTTTTTAAATTCATACTCCACAACGTCCAATCCGTTCACAAAAAGATTCATCTCAAACGACAAAATACATCTTGAATCATAATCATGAATCATGAATGATAACCGTCCAAGAACACTCGAAGCAAATCCGCCAAGCGATCCCGAACAATCAAAACTTCACTTTACCCAAGACACCTCGCACCCTAGAGAGGCTCCGCCAGAGAGTCCCGTCGCGTCGTATTAATTATTCTTGTAAAATAAAATTCAATGACCGCCCCTGGCGAGAGACACATAGACGAAGAGCTGGAGATCGAGCAGATGCTACGTGCCGAGCGATAGCCGTGGACATAATGAAATATCGCCGGGGAACCCGTAGGGTTGCTTGCCTCTTGCCTGCCGGTATTGCACGGCGCATTTGTCGCCAAGAGAAAAGAGGGGTCCGGAGAGAAAGAGGAAAGGAATGAGAGAGACAGAGAGAGAGAGAGAGAATGAGAGAGAATGAGACTAACAGAAAATAAGGGAATGAGAGAAAATGAGAGTAAGGGAGAATGAGAACGAGAATGAGAATGAGAGAAAATGAGAGTAAGGGAGGATGAAAGAAAATGAGAGAATGAGAATGAGAATGAGAGAAAATGAGGGAGAATAAGAGAGAATGAGAGAAAATGAGAGTGAGTGAGTGAAGCGCGAGGAGTCGTGAAATCGACGATGGACGGACATACTGGGTCAGTGCTCTCTGGATCCGCGCCCGTTTCTTTTGCTATTCTCGTCGCCGCGACGGTTCAACCTTATGAATCGGGAATGTGGCGCCCCACTGTGGACGACCTCGCGCGACATCATCGTCGGCTGTAGCTCTCTCAGCGAGGACCCGCCGCCTCCGCCTCTGCTGCCGCCGTCGCCGCGGCGACGCGCACACCTCTCCGACCACTAACCCCCACACGTCGCTGCCCCGACAGTAGCACCCGGAAAACAAATAGGCGGCGACAGTCAATGAACGTGACTACGCGGGATCGAACCGGCAACGATAACGCGTTTCCCCAACGATTCTTAGCGTCGCGTCGCGTCGCGGCGGGCTCGTACCGCGGTCACAGCCGACCTTCCGGTTTTCTTTAGGCCGCGGTTTGGGGAGCCAAAGTTGCGGGTGTAACGAGTGTAAAAAGTTTCTCATGTTTCGGTTTTGTCCATCACCGTTTGCGTTAACTGCATATAACACTGCGGCCTTGATATGTAATGATGTTAACATGTTGCCACGGTAACCGATAATTCGGAATTGTCTGGACATGATTATATGATTGATGAATACGTTTGGAGACGTGAGTAACTGGATAATAGTGTAAGGGTTGTGATAGTAAATCATTAATAGCTGATTCTCTTTGTTTAATAGTTGATTGATAGATGTTCACCTTTGATACGAAAGGATCGGTGATGCAGAAGAGATCATTTGTTTAGTCGAATCAGCTGAGCCAACTGATCATGGCGGTCCCTCTCCTGGTGACCAGTGGTGGTCAACGTGATCGTCTTGATGCAAGAGGTTGTTCCTCGTGGTTTTTGGAGGTTGTATAATTTTGCTGCTGTTTGTGTTAGTCGTTGAAAGATGTTAGGGGTTCCAGATGTTGAATGCAACATGAGAATGTTTCTAGGATCGATTAAACTGCCGTCTACATATGACAGTGAGTAGTGAATTGGTTCAATGGGCGGTCTACTTTTCTATCACTATTGTCACTATAGTCACCTGCAATTGTCAAAGGATCAACGGGTACGAGTGCTCATTTCGCTATTCGATCTGAGGGACTGTTTAATGTAATCGGCTTAGGCTGTGGTTGTGCTGATTGCGTATTCAAATGAACCAACATTCTGACGAACTTAGTATGTGATAATTATGCAGAAAGAGGTGCCACGCTGTAGGCACCTGCTTAGGCAATCAAATTAACGATACTTGAAGTTATTCGTTCGATATTGTGGATTTTATAATTATAAATTCGTTTGAAGGCTGTTTTATTTTCCCAAGAAACCTGGTAGCTTGCGGTAATAATTTTAATTGGTACAAATATATATCAAACGTGCAACTATTAAACATGTTCGATTTATTGAATATACTTCTGCAAACTAAAGGAAACTAGAGGTTTAAACTCACAGATAGTAACACGCGTAAGAAAACATTCAGAATCAAGCGTCCAACAACATATTTCAAGGTCAGTGAAATCAATGGTAACTTTTCTTTTACAAATTCGCACAAAAATATAAATAGCAATCATTAGATATTTATTCGTTTAAACTCCAGGTTATCTCAATAAGCAACCATTACAACTGTCTTATATAGCGTTTCATATGAAAACAGTACAATAGTCCGCAATGATCAGTCTCGTTCCTAACGAGTCTTCTATCTCGAGGAAAGTCGAAAGTCTTCGAGACATCCTCCGCGTGAAACCTAGCCTCGGATATTCTTATCGGGAGAAACTATTGGTACAACCAATTGGTACGCGGGCTAAAACGCGTTAGGCGTTGTTAGCGGGAACTACAATACCCATTGGCGTAGTGTTTCAGGTGGCCAAATGCCCGTAACATCATCCCCTTTCGATCATATAATTCTGTAATTGTTCCCACGGAAGCCGGCTAAGCGGTAATCTCCGCGTTATTTACCCAGAAACAAATTATCGAGAAGAGTGTCTGTCAAAATCTCGGATAAAACGATTCGCCGCCGCTCGTGTTCTCGAAATACAGAATAATGGCAACAAACCCATTGTCCGCGATATGCCTTCCGCGCGAATGTTATGGTCTTTGTTCGAACGACGAAAAAAAAGCCGATTGATTCGACACAATAGCCTTGGGTCACGTGATAAGTCGTTGTTCATCGATAAATGTTAGCCCTCGGCGGTAGATAATGTCGTTAGCAATAGCTATCTCACCTATGAGACAACAGTGTTGGCTAACTATAGAGAAAGTACCGACGAGATTCTTAATATAATCAAACAGAAAGCATACGTTAAATTGTAACAAGATAAATAGAAATGAAAACAGAACGTTTTACATTTTTACGTAGTTAAGTGAAAGCGTAAAATTGTTTTTCGTCCGTTAAGGGTTGAACAGCGGAAGAGCCATAGCGAAGCGAAGCAAGCGACAAATTCGAAGTAGTTTGTCAACTGTGGTACCAAAACTTTTATAGGTGGTACGCTGTGTTCGAAATTAATCATTTTTCGCTGCGTTTTATACGATTATAACATTCGCTGTAATTGGGGACGTTAATCTTGATAACGACTCATCGAAAATCTACTCGCGTTCTAACAAATTTGGGAGGAAGAGAGAACATCGAAATCACATCGCTATTAACGAAAGCATACTCCGACGGTTCACTATTAAAATGTTCTGCGTCCGTGTTACGGATCACTAGTCCCCGACCGGTGATTTTATCGTACAATTCCATTGTTCTTTTATCGACCGAACTAGTTTTCGGCCTCGTTTCATCTCGCGGAAAAATGTTTACTGTTCCCATTTTCTGTATTTCTTTTTTCTCGTGGTAGAACTTAACGAACAAGTTGTTTGAAAGTTTAACGAAGGCAGAAATGAAAAATAAGGGAACCAGAATCCCACGAGTCTCTTGCGATTAATAGTTAACGAAGTACATAGGTTTATCTACAACCTTGTTCACCGATTTCTCTAGATACCACCCTCGAAAGTACTTCAGCAGCTAATTTTAAATAATAAATTTAAGAGATCTGTTTAATTGAAAAATATTGCATACAATTCCTAGCCTCCAGGAAAATTAAGTAATCTTTAGTACTTTATCCGAACGATCACAAGACGATTAATAACACCCCCATTAATAACTCAAACACTTCTCAGAGTTGGCATCTATCCCTAAACCACGATACCCACTGCATTCCATAACTAATTTCAAGCTTGATCCTCCAGTCATAAATCTTGCTAAGTTCATGCCCGTTTAATCATCCCACCAATTTAATGTTCCACCTCGGTACCAATCGCTTCAGGCAACTGAGGCTCTATCATGGAATCTCAATGGCTAAAACGTTCAAAAACGATCCCCTAAACAAGCAAGTATAGCACGCTAGAGTCTAGAGTCTCTTTAAGAGTTTCTCTTTGCAAGACAAAACTCTATAACTCTGTTTTTGTATTTTCATTTCAACTTGGTCTTTTCCATCATTACCAATATTATTCACTACCACAAACGATACCGATCAACGGTCCCAATTCCTTGATCATCAGAAAACAACCATATATCGCGTTGAAATCTTCAATCACGCCAAGAACCAGAAGAAGACGCAAGGGAGACACTGTCCATCCACGACTTGGTAGCCAATAGGGCAGCACAGACGCAAGAGGTCTTCCGCTATGCGCTTCGCTTAGAGTTTCAATGGGTGACGTGTAACCGTGTCGACGAGTAGCAAATTAGAATCGAAGATAACAAGAAAACTGACCAATCAAGCCCAAATTCCTCCGCCCAGCTATCAACTCGTGTACGGACGATAAAGGAGAGTCCACGGGCAGTGTCATCGGGGTTCACCGGTGTGGCGTAGGTAGATACGCGCGGCGAGTTGCTGTCAGCGCGATTAGGTAGTGGCGGGCAACACGCGGCGGCGGCGGCAGCGGATCCCCGGTGTCTCGGCCGTAATCGCGCGACTTTGCTTGACCTTGACAGTATGAATTACACCGCGCACGCGCGGGGAGGACGTTCTTCGGGAGCGTCGAACGTATCCACGTGTTCGGCTCCGGCCGAGGGACTACATGATGAAAGTGTCTTTGCCGCCACGTGGTCTCGTTGGGGTAGGACATGGTCTCTCTTACTCTCTCTCCCTCCCTCCTGCCCTCTCCTACTCTCTCTCACTCTCCCACCCCTCTCGCGCTCGTCTCTCCCCCTCCCTTCGATCGCGCCGACCGCCTGGCGAGCTGCAACCAGAGCCCTCTCTCTCTCTTTCTCTCTTCGGTCCTCTCTCTGTCGCTCTTCCCGTGGACGCACGAGCTCGCCGATCCGCGCGCGTTCCGTTTCCTCCGCGGCGCGCGTTCTACTATCGCGGACCGGCGGTAGTGGCGCTGCACAGCGCTGCCATCACCGATGCTGCGCAACGTTCGCACTGTTTTCCTTCGTTTTTCGCTGTTTGCGTGGCTCTTTCTTGCTCCATCGATCGTTTATTGTACTCTGTCTGCCCGTTATCGGTGGGCCCGCGTGCCAGTCACTTCCCCGTTACGACAGTGGAACACTGATCCGCTGATTGGGATGCGCTGAGATGGTCTGTTGAGGTGTACGTTCTTGTGCGAGTTAGTTTTGTGGTGGATGGGTCTGTTGATTTTTGTTTGATGTTTGTTTGGTTGTTGGGTCGTTATGGCTCCTCCCCTGGCATTGCTGCTGTGTGGATTGGGTTAGGCAAACATCAGTTCTGAGATTGATAAGTTGTCTTTGTTCGCTTGATACGAGGGTGAAGATCCTTGGATCATTGGAGATTCTTTTGATACCGCCAGTCTACATTAATTTCGAGATGTTTATTTAATATTCATTTGGAGATTCTGGAATCATTGTAGTTTACTTTACTGGCACCATTTCCTAGACCTATATTCTATCCCTAACGATGATTACCGTGTTGGGATATCTTCGAGATTCTCCAGCCTCTACTCCACGGTTGCTTCGCTAGAAAATAGGTGTAACGACTGATGTTTAATATCTAAAATGCAGACGTTATATTGGAAAAATCGTGTGGACAATTCGATCGACCCCTGCGTAATCGATAAGGGAATCAGATAAATTGGAATTGACGGAGGAATTGGCATGGAACATGATTAAACAATATCATCAATAATTAACATCGTTAAATGTCCGAACAGAACTACGATTACGAAGAACAGAACGAGGAAAATGTACAGTCTAATTGCACTATTTACCTACGGACCGGTTAGCAATCGAATTTCTTTAACACAGATTCAAATCACTCGGCTGGCGCGCGCGAATGATCGTTGCCGGTCGCGCGTGGCCGAGGTACGCGAGAAACGGCACGAATCAATCGGCCGCCGCGTAACAGGCTTAAAACCGTACCGAGAAATTGGCCAATCGAATTACGAGCTTCCATCGTCGCGTGTCCGCCTCTCGAAACGAGAGAAGGCGTTCGCATTCACGTGTGACAGTGTAAACCAGCGTTTCTTGCTACATGGTCCACGGACCCCCGGACAGACTCGAGGGAAATGTAATCTGATTACATATTCAGATAAACGATTAGAACACAAGTTTCATTCGATCTCAAGATACCACTTGTAACCATTAATTAGAACTCACCTTAATCAAGAGAATTTCAATTGTAGTTCAGTGAAGATTGAAGATCATAACAGATAAGTTACCGAGTCAGCTACTATAGTTTAATCAGATTATATTTTGCCCAACCCAGCTTCTTAGAGGCTGCGAATTCCAAACACACGTAAACGAGTAATAAACCATTTATAATATTTAATGATCATACTTTTATAATTATTTTAACATTTTATAATATTTTATTGATGAGTACTATTTTAAATTTACTATTTAATATTTCAGGCACAAGGATAAATTAAAATTTTTAGTTATATCTCACAGATCTATGGCAATGAAAAATTATCGAAATTAATTTCTCGAAGTTCCTCTATACAAACTCCAATAGCGCATCTATCGAGATTTCAATTGATTTTCAACTCAGTTTGCATGTTGCTAAATTAATTTATTCAATAATTTCTCAGAAAAGCATCTGTTATCTCTACGATAATTGCAAAAAGAAGGAATCAGGTTCGGCCCGGTCTCGCGTTAGAGAGCACGATCGCGTAAACGAACGGAACAATCGCTGATGCGCAATACGGGGCTCCGCGTTAATTACGGCAGATGAAATTAATTCGCTCGCCGGTACACCGTCCGCGGAATTTTATTATCACGTTCGGATAATTGCCGGCCGGCCACTGGCCAACGAGTTCGAACGTTTAATCGCGCAGTTGATGTCGCGCCACGGCGTTACAGGCCGCGCGTGCGCGAGATTGCGATGTTTAACACATTGTTGACGGTACGCGCCTGTTCAAACGAACGTAACTATTATATTTTCTCAAGTTTCTTTATTAAAGTTTACTCGTGTAATAAATGAAAAATAAAAAAATGAGATAATAAAATGAATTACATTCGAATATCCTTGTTAATTATTAATTATATTTCCAATATCTTCTGTCACTGATACCTATGAAATGGAAAACACGAATTTTTACTTAGAACTTTAATAACCGGTTATATTTTCAACGATATTATACCATTATTTAATTATCAGTCATTGTTGATTGCATTCGTTCGCGGTTTTAATTGCGCGTCTATGAAGACATAGTAAAATTACATGTACACTTTTAGCCGTAATAACATTGCAGTTAAAACGGGGACCGTTAATTTTGTTGCGGCCTGTATAAACGGAATTAGTATTCCGACATCGAATTCGTTGAACGTTATTTCTCAATCTCTTTCCATCCCCTTCTAGCCCTCTCTCTCTCTCTCTTTCTGTCTCGGGTAGCGGCCGGAATTACGAGCAAGGGAACGCATTTATCCTCTGATCGACTATTAAGTACAACCAGTATCTGGCGGCGTGTAGCTCGCGCACGAACCGCTCGTAAACGTTCGAAAGTAGTATCGGTTAGACGCGCGGAAAAAGAAGATAAATCTTCGAGGATGTCGAACGATATTGATGACGTTGCGGACAGGGTGCATCAACGATATTAATGCTCGAGGGCGCAATGTTGGAGGGAGGTATCGATTGTACTGTGAAATCGATTCGACGATTAGAACCGCTTTTTCCGGGATTCGAAAGAATCTCAGTTTCCCAACGGTCTAATAAAAAAAGTTACCAAAAACATCGAATAAATCTATCACGTGACATTCTCACGAAGGATCGCGGTACGGAAATCGAGATCTCCGGAATCCGAACTTCTCGTTTATTATCAATAAATTAATTTCCGGCGTAATTAGTTTCACATTTTAATCTCTCTTTTTCCTTCAGATACTTTATTCCTTTGATAGCCGCTGATCCACCGTTGGTCACACATTTTAACATTCAAATTCGTTCGTGACCTATTGCTGGTTTCCCGGATACGAAACAAGGTCAGGCGCAAACGATTCTTGCCGGTTGCCGATCCGTACTGGCATCGGCGGCAACGATCATTCGAGCGACTCGGTCCGAAACGCGTTCTAAATTTCACATGGAAGGGGACCGTCGATAATAGACGACCGGGTTCCGCTGACCGTACGATCCACGGATCGAGACGATACACGATTCGGCCGGTTATTACGAATTCCAAAGGCGACGATCCAAAATAAACACCTAGAAGAGAGCCAAGAACTCTGTTCCAAGAATACCGCCAAGTAGCGATGCCTCGGTTCGATCAGTTCTCTGGCAAGTTTCCGCGATCGATCACGGCTGAATCGCCTCGAACGTAATCCAAGGGAACCGATGCCGATGTGTGCAACGTCGAATCGATTATCCCGCGTAACAGGGGGAACGTACGCACCGACTCGACTCGACTCGTTGTCAGTCGTGTTCGACATTTCAAGATAACCCCTCGATTTCGTATTCAGCTATTAATTCCTGACCTTTATATTACATCACGGCGTCCTCGCGCCGTGTTTATCGTTCCGACGGAAATTCATCGTCTTGATCCGCGGGAATGAAAAAGATCCAAGGAATCGAAGAAGAAAGAGAACCACTTACATAACTATCACTACTAAAACCACCTGCAGCTAATGAATAGTTACAACTATTCGAGCTGACAATTATCAGACCTCGGATCTGCGATTCGAGAATGA